TATTAGTGGAGCAAATGATCAAATAATACGGAGGGAAGATATTTTCGTTTGGAGGGGAAGCTCGCGAGTGTGTGTGTATACGTGTGTGTGTTTGTGTAATTTTGCGTTTGTGTGTATTGTGTTTGTTTCCCGGGGAAAACACTCACAAGAAACACCGGCTGTTGTTATGCCTGCTATGACGTTAAATTACTCCGTTCTCCGCTTGTAATTATGCCGTTACAAGCTTCAAAGTTGTATTTATCATCTGAATTTGCCGAAACAAGTTTAATATTCTGAAAGCCAAGACTTTGTTTAATTAAAATCAGATGAAAACAAACTGTAACGGACCCTGCCGTGTTATCTATGATTACTATACTCTTACATTCATAATTTCAGCGGAGGGAGGGGGGCGGCTTTGCTGGAAGAGCAGATTGCGAGTGAGAGGTGCCTGTCTTCGTCCCTTTACAAGCTTCAAAAATGTATTTATCGTGTGATTTTGGAAATAAAAGTTTCATATTCTGAAAGCCAAGACTTTGTTTGTTTAAAATCAAACAAAACACCCGAACCCTGAAAAAATAGTTTTTTACGTAAATCCACGTTTATTCTGAAATGAGCCGTTGCGACTTCCGACTGATTTCGATAGAACGGGTCACATTTAGTTTTCTTCTGCGCTGGTTCTTCTGACATGTTTGCAAGTGTATATATTATTTCTAGGTTAACGGCTGACACACACAGAACAACGTAACAAATAAAGTAAACAACGTAACAAATAAAGTAAACAACGTAACAAATAAACAAATCTAAGCTTTTTTATTGGTTGTAATTTACATGGATACATTTGAATGGTGTGACAATGTCCTATTTGATTGGGTTAAAATGTACATATTCTTCCTGTTATGTCTGCCTGCTTTATTTTTACCTAATGCAAAGTTACCTGCTGCTCCATCGAAATCAGTCGCATTGACCCGAAGACATATTTTTGATTCCTAGCTTTCTAATGATATCAGGATTGTTTTTGTACTCCAAATATTAAGCAAAATATGTCACATTATATAATGACTGTTACAGAGTCATCATTTTGAGAAAAAGGCCTTTAAAGTTTTCTCTTCTCTGGAATCCATAATTTCTCATCATCAATCATCATGATTGATTATTAGCGGAGCAAATGATCAAAATAGTACGGAGGAAAGATATTTTCGTTTGGATTACTGCACTCACGAGAAACACCGGCTGTTGTTATGCCTGCTGTGACGTTAAATGACTCCGTTCTCCGCTTGTAATTATGCCGTCACAAGCTTCAAAGTTGTAGGCCTATTTATCATCTGAATTTGCCGAAACAAGTTTAATATTCTGAAACCCAAGACTTTGCTTATTTGAAATCAGATAAAAACAAACTGTAACGGACCCTGCCGTGTTATCTATGATTACTCTACACCTTACATTCATCATTTCAGCGGGCGGGAGGGGGGCGGCGCTGAGGAACAGCAGAGTGGCGAGAGCTGTCATCTTCCTTTTACAAGCTTCAAACATGCCTGTAGCTAGTGAGATTTAATATAACAATCAAAAATAACAAAATATACACAGCTAGATCAGATCACGTTTTAGATGCGACTTTAGAGTAGAGGGGAATTATTGAAACGGGATTTGTACAGTTTTCCGCGGCACAGTTTCATGGAAACACATCAGCTTTTGGACGACAGTCAATATGGATTCAGGAAAGATAGATCAACATCTATGGCACTAATGGAATTAAGTGAGGAAATAGCTAACTGCATGGACAATAAAAAACAAGCAGTGGGAATATTTATAGACTTACAAAAAGCATTTGACACCATAGATCACAATATTTTACTGAGAAAACTGGAACGGTATGGCATCAGAGGGGTGGGATTAAACTGGGTGAGAGATTATTTAAGCAACAGACAACAATTTGTTGAATTTGTTGAAAACATAAAACAAATCCACAGATACAATTAATACTAGATAACATACACATAGAAAGAGTATATGAAATTAAGTTCCTTGGTGTGGTTTGAGACCACAAAATCAGCTGGAAACCTCATATCACTCATGTAAAAGCAAAACTGGCTAAAACTATCGCAATATTGGGAAAAGCCAGATACATTCTGGACTATAACTCATTGTATACTCTATATAACACACTAATATTGCCATATCTGATTTACTGTGTGGAGATTTGGGGAAACACGTACAAAACCAACCTACAGCCGTTATGCACATTACAAAAAAGGGCTATAAGAGTTATCAATAATGTTGGATATCTTGAACACACTAATGTATTCTTTTTGAAGTCACACATATTGAAGTTCATTGATCTGGTTACATTTAAAACAGCAGAAATCATGTACAGAGCCAGACATAATCTACTTCCTAGGAAATTAAAAACATTGTTCATAGACAGAGAGGGTGGGTATAATTTGAGAGGAAATCTACATTTTAAACAACTCAAGGTCAGAACAACTCTGAGAAGTATGAGTTTAACAATCTGTGGGGTGATTTTATGGAATGGTTTGGAGCAGGAGTTAAAACAAAGCACAAGCATAATTCAGTTTAAAAGGATGTACAGAAACACTTTTTTGGAAAAATATGAGAATGAAGAAAGGTGATTGAAGACGAGAAATTATTGTATATGTATGTATAAATGTAAATCTAAGTAGGAATAACTTGCATAATGATTTAAAGGACAATCATTGATCAAGTAAGGGGTGGGAATTAATAAGCATTTGCTTCCTCCTACTCCCTTTCGGACACATATGATTTATTATTATTATTAATATGAAGACTTTTGTTTTTTTTGTTGAATATACAAATATTACCATGAATGTGGATAAATACTGTATTATAACAATACGGTATTCTGTTTTTCACATTTTTTATTTGTTATTTTTGAATCTGTTCGAAATAAAGACTGAAAATAAATTTTTTTTAAAAAAAATCTGCTGCTGCGAAAATGTGGGGCAGGGCTGAAAAGTGGGGGGGCCAATGGCCCCCTGGCCCCCCCGCTTCCGGCGCCCTTGATCACAGCTAAGGGGGTTGTCGACCCTCCGCTTCGCCCCTTAGCTGTGATATAATGAGCATATACCACGGCCTGTCGTGAGCTATTGCTTAAATATACTGTACATATTCATTCTTAAACATATATGAAATAGCACATGTCCAAGACCAGGACTTACATTTTAAATGTAACCTTTGTAATGGTAATTTGTGAGCATTTTAATGTTATTAACTGACTTTTTATACTTACAGTGTATTATTTTGGTATAATTACCCAAAAATGCATAAAATGTATGATGTTAAGATAAGCATATCTCACAAAAAAAAGCTAGAAATATTTTCTACCTAAGTAAAATTACATTTAGCCGATTTAAAACTATGGTCGCCAATGAGTGGAACCGTGCTACAACGGCCGAAAATATTTCCATTAGGAGAAACGTGCTGCAGTTTGAAAATAATAAAAACAGAAATGTGCAAAAACACATGCAAATGAGGAAACATCTTCAACAACTCGGAAACGCATGCACAGCATTTAGGAAACATTCACCAACTTGACGAAACATGTGCAGGGTTTACTAAAACACTGCAAGAAACACAACCGAAATGGGGACAATAAACACATAGCTTTGACTGGTGCACTTGTTGACGTTCGGGGATTTTAAGTTGGCCAACTGTTGGTGGAAATGTACCTTAAATGTGAGTTTCATCAGCCTATTTTACAACAATGTGATAGCAGTTAGCTACAGTAGCTAGTTGCTTTCATACCCAATAGCAAAAAAAGACTTGGAAAAAGTAGGGACAGATCTCTTTTCCCTATCAAGCAAAGTTTTGATGTATATATATTTTTATCCCAATCAATAAAAATGTCTATATATTATTAAGTTCTGAGATACTTTAACTAAGGCACACTACTCGTTGCAGTGTTGTTATTTTAAGTAAATCAATGTTCGCAAAGCATGCATTGCTGATGTTGTCATACCAGTTAATGATCCTCAGTATACCAGTCAGGCCCAGTTCAATGGACTCCCCCGACGATTCAAAACCTGCTAAAAATGTCATTGTTGTAAAGGCGACCCCTATCACTGTCAGAGTATTGCAGTACACCACTGCACATCAAAAGTTAAATGCCATTCTCAAGCTTCGTTTTACTTCAAAGGGAACAGTCCAGTTATGCAGGCAGTTAAGAGAAAATCAAGAGAAGCCAACAGATACATATCGTGATAAACACGAGCAACTGCTATCTTTTTTTGTGTGTGTTTCGCACAACATATGGGAAACTATAAAGAACAAGCAAAGAGTATCTGCAGGAAAGGGATTGGAAGAACCTTTCCATCAACAAACGAGCGTTGACTCAGGGACAAAAGGACAACATAAAGGTAATACACTGTTCATCTGACCACTCATATCAAAACCATGTCTTGGTAACAAGAGGCCCAAGACACACAGAGACGCCTGAGGAATATACTATATATTGATGTTTCAGCATAAAAAGACAATAATATTGGCTTTTTAAAATACATTTATCCTTTGTCTTCAATTTGGTATAAATGTTTTAGAACTACAGTTCCAAATATGCTCTGACGGATGTAAACAGGAAGTACAAAATGTTACATTTCAGGTTCATATGTGTATTTTGTGCCTCTACTGTGACATGTTTGCATTTAATGTGATTTAATGTGCTCTGCCACTTGACCATATACAACAGAGCCGGCCAGCTAACCAATCAGAGCAGACTGGGCTCTGGTTTCAGACAGAGGGTGAAAAGAAGCACTGCAACACAGGCAGTATGAGAAAAATGAAGCTCCTATTGTGCAATCATAGATTATTGTTCCGCACATTACCGCACCAGTTCAATAATACAAATAAAATAATGCTAGTTACATCAACATTCCGCCAAAGGATGCTACACTATCAGATCTTCTAAGCTGCATTAATATAATGGCTATGTCACTGTGTTTGTGTGTGTGTAGTATTTTGGATAAATGTGTCCGTGAACACATACATACCAAAGGGCAGCTCAAATCGGGTGTCCAGCAGCACTTGGTGAGGAGTTGGGTTGGAAGTTCCACAGATCTCATCCTCCTGCATTAACACTTCAGAGTCAAGCGATGCCCATTTCCCTGGTCCCTCCTGAGAAAGAGACACAGGGAGAAAGAGAGAACAGATAAATAAAGGAAGAAAGACACATTCATTGAGGAAAATGAAGGGTGTTTGCTGGCGAAGGAGGGACATTCTTCAAGAAAATTGAGCAAAGATGAAAAGATGAAAAACTGAAGAAGCAAGGGCCTGGCAGTTCAGACCATGTTAGAACAGAAGTGAGAGTTTACTGTGCTCAAATTTAGGGGGGAAGTAAAAACACTGGGGGATGCATTATTTATGAATACATAAGTGCTGCTTGCTCACTTCACTCTCCAGAAAAGAAATGAGTTTTAGAGGCGAGACAAGCTTGCTGTAATGAGTTAGCACCTTGAGAGAGAGCTTTTTTTAAACTTAGCTGACAGGTAAAGATCGTGTTCATTTCTCTGCTACTCTACTTCCTTGTGCTAAGGTACATTGAAGGCAAGCTACAACATATTATTTGAAGAATACTGCTGCAAGAGTGTGAAGCTTATCATATATGATAATATAGGGGTAAATAAGTAAATAAGCTGTGTATACCATGGAAACATTTAGATAAGGGCTTTAAAATAACCATAATTAATACAGTGCAAATTGCTTTAGTTAATAGTTATTTTACTGTTAACTATTAACTGATAATATTGAAAAAACGATTGTGTACAAGTCCTTATTGATGCTGTAAATCTTATCTTTAAATTATGTATTGTAACATAGTTGATAAGAGAAGATAATGACATTCTGATTGCTATTAACAGTTAATTGTTGGACAAGTTATAACATACATATTATATAATATCTTAAGTATGTGTTAATGATTACCAAATGAACATTAAAAATCATACTTTACATAAATAATAGCATTACTTATAATAAGTAAACATTATTTAATTACAATATCATTGTTTATAAACAGTAACATAACTATGAACTAAAGTTTAATTCATTATCTATTTAATATTTAGTAATAACTTTTAGCCATCCCTGCTTATACAAGTAGTAGTTTTAGTTGTCTGCGAACTGTGGAGGCCTACTCCCACCTGTCGAGTGCGGCTGTACTGAGGTGTTTTTCCTCCGGAGACGTCGCGAAGAGACGGAGGGGCTCCACCTGTTGCTGCATGCGATCTGCGATTTACGGAGGCCTGCTCATCGCGAAGAGACGGAGCGGCTCCACCTGTTTGCTGCCTGCGATCTGCGATCTACGGAGGCCTGCTCCCACCTGTAGAATACGGCTGTACTGGAGAGGTTTTTACCCCGGAGTCGTCGCGGAGAGACGGAGTGGATCCACGCTTCGGGCTTGGCCTGCTTCCACCGGACGTGTGCTGCTGTGCGGAGGAGGATTTTACCACCGCTGGGGCCTGCTTTCCACCTGTCCTGGTTCTGCTGTTGCAGAGGCCTGCTTTCACCCCGGGGATACCACGGAGGGACCGGAGCGCTTCCACGCTGCTGTTTTCGCCTGTCCTTTGCTGCTGTGCTAATTTTGCTCCAGGAACATCGTGGATACTGTGTGCTGGTCTGGGAAAATGGCCCATATCGGGATTCTGCTGTGCCTGTTAACTGTTTTGGACTATGAGAAGATCTCTAGTCATTCTGAGAAGACTACTGGATTCAGGTCTGTTCTGCCACCCGCAGTGGGCATCCCCTGCAAAGGTTCGGATGTGTTGCTCAAACAATTACCGGTTGCCTTGTCACAGTCAATCTGCTCGACAAAATATGTTTGTCTTTTTTATTTTCCTGCGATGATGGTTCTTCAGGACTGCTTCTTAAGCTCTAATCACACTCTCGCAGACTTTTCCGGTGATTCTAAAGTAGATGACAATGTATTTGTGTCGTTTAAGAGGAAAAGATGCCTGTTTTTTTTTGTTTTTTTTGTTATTACTGTCAGGAAATGTACAACCTAACCCTGGTCCGCCCAGTAGTAGTAGTAGTCAGATCGCTACTCCTGCTGATTTTAAAGCTAGGTCTGGGTTGGGTTTCATCCACTTGAATGTGCGCAGTCTGTTAGGTAAACTAGATTTTGTCCGTATCTGGGCAAAATCGACTGACGCTGACGTCATTGTCTTATCAGAAACATGGCTAAATAAATCTATTTTGGCCTCTGACATTGCCTTAAATGGTTTTAATGTGTATCGTACCGACCGGCCTAAAAAAGGTGGTGGCGTTGCCATTTATGTTAAGAATAAGTTCAGTGTAACCACATTAGTTTCCAAATCGATCAGTAAGCAATTTTAATTTTTAGCCTTAAATATAGAAGTGACAAAGGGTCAACAGGTCATGGTCGTGGGCTGTTACAGACCCCCCTCAGCTGTCAAAGACTCCTTGTCTTCACTAGCAAATCTTTTATCACAACTAGACTACAAGGAAATAGTGCTACTTGGAGATTTTAACTGGGACTGGTTAACTGCAGTGTCAGAGGATTTTAAAAACCTTTGTATCTCTTTGAATGTTACTCAGATTGTTGACAGTCCTACTCGCCCAAATATTAAGTCCCCTAATAAATCCTCCCTAATTGATCTCATTTTAACTAATGTTCCCCATAAATATTCATCTGTGGGAGTATTTGCAAATGATCTGAGCGATCACTGTGTTGTAGCCACAATTAGGGACACTAAGGTCCAAAAGGTTAAACCTCGCATTATCATTAAGAGAGACAAAAACATTTTGTTGAGCAGGGTTTTGTGCATGATCTGTTTGATTTTGATTGGGGTAAAATCGATCTGTGTGCTGATGTGGAAACCGCATGGTCTTATTTTTATCTAGGTTTTATGGAGATCATTGATAGACATGCACCCCTGCGTACATTTAGAGTAAAGGGTCGAGACAATCCTTGGTTTTCTGCTGAGCTGTCTAGTCTCCTTAATGAGAGAAACAAGGCCTGGGCAAAGGCTAGGCAATCAGGCTCAGAGGTAGAGTGGCTGCGTTTTAGGCAGCTAAGGAATAGCTTCACTTCAAATGTCAAAAGTGCAAAGTCGAAGTACTATTTGTCAGTTACCACAGAAAACCTAAATAATCCTAGGAAATTTTGGAAAGCAATAAAAATCGATATCCACCGGTGAGATCCGTAATGAGCTACCTCCGTGCCTTACCACAGCATCTGGCACTATATCGGACAGGGCCACTATGTTAAATTGCTTTAATGAGCATTTTGTGTCCTGCGGTTCTATGTTTGATTCTGTGACTAACTCTGCTTCTGTGAACACCCCAATCCGTGACTCTGAACAATGTGGTCTGGAAAACCCTTTCAGTTTTACTCCTTTTACTGTCAATGTTGTTCATGAAGCCTTATCTAAGCTAGATCCTAAGAAATCGGCTGGCCCGGACAACGTAGAACCTTTCTTTTTAAAGATAGCTGCAGATTTTATTGCTCTTCCTCTTACTACTCTTTTTAACCTCTCCCTCAGCACAAATGCAATTCCAAAAGTATGGAAGTCAGCTTATGTCTTGCCTTTACTAAAAGGAGGGGAGGCAACTATTTTAAATAACTATAGGCCAATCTCTAAATTGTCAGTTCTGGCGAAGGTGCTCGAACGCCTAGTGAGTGAACAGGTAAAGGTGTTTTTATGTAAAAATGATATCCTGTCTAAACATCAGTCAGAATTCAGAAAACAACATAGCACCATCACTGCCACAATGAAAGTGGTGAATGACATTACGAGTATTTTAGACAATAAGCAGAGTTGTGCAGCTCTATTTATTGACCTTTCCAAAGCGTTTGATACCGTCGATCATCACATCTTATAGCAGAGGCTACTCAGTATCGGCATATCCAGCCATGCAGTGGGTTGGTTTGTGAACTACCTCTCTGAAAGGTCCCAATGTGTTCACTTTGATGGGCTGTCTTCTGAGTGGTTAAACATTGCTAATGGTGTTCCTCAAGGTTCTGTTTTAGGTCCACTTTTATTCTCCATATACAGTATATCAACAGTTTAGGTGAAAATGTGGATGAAGCTACTTTTCATTTTTATGCTGATGATACCGTGATGTATTGTGCAGGTCCCTCCATTAAGGAGGCTGGTGTTAAATTACAGGCTGTTTTTAACATTATTCAGACTCAGCTTGCTGAACTTAAGCTTATTTTAAATGTTGATAAAACCAAGGTAATGCTATTTTCAAAAGCTAAAAAGACACCAGAGCCTGTTTTGGATATTGTTACTATGCAAGGACAAGTACTTGAAGTGGTTACCAGTTATAAATACCTGGGTATCTGGCTTGATGATTGTCTTACTTTTAAGCTTCATGTCAATAACCTGCTTAAAAAGCTGAGGGTTAGACTAGGTTTCTTTTTCAGAAACAAGTCCTGTTTCTCTTTTGAAGCCAGGAAAAGGCTAGTCAGTGTGACCTTTTTACCTGTGCTGGACTATGGTGATTTGATCTATATGAATGCACCTGCCTATTGCCTGAACAAGTTAGATGCCGCCTATCACAGCGCACTGAGATTTGTCACAAATTGTAAAGCACTTACTCATCACTGTACCCTGTATGCCAAGGCAGGTCTGCCATCACTTACTGTAAAGAGGCTCAGTCATTGGTACACGTTTATTTATAAAGCTTTGTTGGGTAAACTCCCATATTATATCTGCTCTCTGATAACACAGAGAGTTGCAAGCAGCTATTGTCTGAGATCGCATGATGTAGTATTGTTAGATGTGCCAAGAGCAAGGACTGTCTTAGGTAAGACAGCTTTTATGTGCGCAGCTCCATTTGCTTGGAACAATCTTCAGCAAGAATTGAAACTGAGCAATCTCATTCCTCTGCATGTTTTTAAAGCTAGACTAAATGAAATGCTCGTTGATACTATGGCCACTTGTAAATGTCTATAACTATGTAAATGTATCCTGTAAATATAATGTATAATGTCCTTTATTGTTTCATGTGGAACCTATATGCTGCAGGTCTCCCTTGAAAAAGAGATCTATGATCTCAATGGGACCAATCTGGTTAAATAAAGGTTTGAAATAAAATGAAATGAGGGGCAGTATGTTAGAAATTAAAATCAATGTTTTTAATGGCATAAA